ACGGGATTTATCACAATATTTATTTATACGTACGAGAAATTCGCGCTATTGATGCCTGAAATATACGGTGGCCGTAGGTCTATTGGAAGGAAAGGTTTTGGCGGAGTGCCTCTTGCAGTCTGCCGTAGTACTGGCAAACCGACCAGCCATCTCCACTTTCCCAAGGCGGCCCTCACAGCGAGTTTCCATGTGCCGAATCGCGCCACAACCTAGTGACAGTATCCACCCGCTCCCGGATCCGCCGTAGTGGCCTTACAACATGTAAGGTGAGTGCCTGGGCACTTGGCCTTGCCGTCAGCATTGAAGCAGCTTCGGACAGATGAACACTGGAAATTCGTTAGAATGATCCATAAGGCGAAAGCCTGAGCACTGACATCCCATTCCACACAACCAGCTGGAGGTGCTTTGCAGTATTGTGCCAACGCGGTTGAGGCACTCAACGTAACAATCAAAGCCTGGAATCTCATAATGTTCGATTCAACCGGCGGCGTGGGTACTAGACTTGAAGTGCTCGACTGGAATGAATTGTTGGGGGTGGGAGAACGCTGTGGTTCTGGGCGAGTGCCACCGGATAACGTAGAGATTCAGTCAAATATAAGGAGGATCTCCTACATAGTAGCTTACTGAGTTGACTAGCTCCAGCTAGCGCCTCACGCGCTGCCCTATGGTTGCTCTTATGAGAAAGTGTGGAAGCCGAGGCTTGTTGAATTGAACTCTCTCAAAGTATCGACAGCGATGTGAAAGTGCGGGAGCCCGATTCGCACCGCTGTATCATTGAAACGACGACTAAACTCGCCGGTGGGATGGTCGGCATAGGTACCAGTGTTACTGTCCTTCCGAGATTTGAAATGTGGTGTCCGACGGCGTAAGTTGTTGCGGTGCGGAGAAAGGCGGGTATGAAAACTGAAGTTATGAAACGTTCCCACTTAGCAGCCGAAGGGAGAGTTTATGAAGAAGCGAATGACTACGTTCCTAGCTGTGTTGGGATAAAATGCCCTTTGCCCCTTGGCTTGACGGTGATGTCGGCGCTTCCTTCAGCATGAAATCGACAGTTGGAAGGTCAATAACATGAGGGCACCTAATCCGCAAATTCGAACATACCTCTCACGTTGACTTACACGATTCGCTTTTGCAAGTAAGTCGGCAGTCTTCCTGAGCTCCCAGTTGGAAGACAGAGTTCATCTTTTCTGGCCAGGTCCAGAGTCCATTGCAGTAACCTTACGGATACATATGGACATAACTTCGCTGCGCCTATCGCAGAAGCGAGGGATGAAAATCGCAGTATGCCTAGTGTGAAGCACTTTCCTAATGCGGGAACCTGACCCGTCCTGTCGGACCATTTACGGGCATTGTGAGATGCTTCAAGACAAATCTCATTCGTAGCAAGATACGCTGTAGAAGTAGGGTTTGCGATCGAGTATCTGTACGATAGATGATTAGAATGAAATGAGGAGTCCATGTCATCGTAACGTCTCAAAGCTTTCCCTCCCTCCGGCTTCTTGCCCACACATCCCGTCGGCCGAGAACTAGCATGGTGACTCCCACTTCCCCCTCACTTACACTTTTTATCATCCACCATCACCTCAACAGATTACTTTTAGAACAGAGCGACGGTCCACTGTTCAATCACAGCCCTGTCACCGTATCACAATCCTTCTCAAGCTTGCTGTATCAACAGAGCTGATCCTCGATGTTCTTCTCCCTCGACGTACACCGTACTAGCCGCTGGATGATCACTTCACCCTGAGCATAGTCGGCATCGCCGTGAGCCAAGCATGTAAACAATGCATCCCAGGACAGGGCAAGATGTAAGGTTGCGACTACTTGATACAATGTCTGAATAAGATGGGTCATTGCGGATTAATAGCTGGAATCCATCAGGTATTGATTGTCCTGACCATGCTGTCCTGCTCTCATCATGTCGCGGCCACGACTCAATCCTCGGTTTCGCAAGTGCACCCTAGATGCTATAAACAGTGAAGTATCTATGCCGAAACTCATTATAGTTTCCGTATATGGGACTCGGCGTTGTGGTTAATGGTCAAGATCAAAACATTAAATATTGCTCTAAACTCCAATGGTGGAAGACTGAGTAACCGCGGAAACACATATAGTATCCATGGCTCAGGCAAAGGATGTGTAACTGTGTTCGCGAAGTTTGGAATGGAATCGCAATCTCCACATCCAATCTGTCCCGTCATATGGCTATTTCCGGGAGGTGGGAAAGAGAGGAAGCCTGTTGTACCAAGGCAGAAATGGTGGATATTCCGAAAGGACATCTCCAGTCATTATTGTATAAAAACTAGAGGAAACCTCACAACGGAGCACCATCATCTGGTCAACTTCTTTCTTGTTCGACTTCAACGCTTCCAAAATACGCTTCCTTCGAATATCCAAAGCCATGAAGCTCCTCAAGGTCTTCTTATCTTTGGGAGTATGCCAAACTGTTATCTCTCAAACCTGCGTCGGCGAAGGGCCACCTGCTGCAGTACAAGGTTCTTGGGTTCTTTCACATCAGAATGATGGACTCACCATGGTTGAGGGGTTTGACGTGACTGTGGCATTTAGCGCAGCCTCGGCTAATACCACAGCCGGCAAACTCAGACTGGCAAATAAGGCTGCTGGAAAAAGATGGGTGCGACTTATTGCCGAGGGCGTCAGTTATGATTTTGCAATAGACGCTGGACAGCAATGCACAATAAGTCTACGAATGATCAACCTGCAGGGCGCCAATATTTTCAAACCCCTCTGACGTGAGTTATCACTTCGTAGTTGCAGATCAAGCTAACCTTTCGAAGCAGAGATATGCCAGTAGACAGTGCCCACCGTGGCTCTGAGAAGCTCCATGCCTGATCTTCAGTACGGCTGCTGCATAAGTAAAGTGGCCAATTTTTTATTTGGGAGAAAATGAAATCGAAATCACAATTACCTGTCGCACTCATACACAAGTCACTTCCCCTTCCTCCCAATAAAAGGCGTCTATTTTGGGTATTTGGTGTAGTGGTTTGGCGCGATAATACCGATAAAGAGGTCGATATCCGATCCGAGCATCTGTCAAGCCACCAGATGTACCATTTGCTTCGCGAGTTGGTTGCCCCTTAAGTCCGGCACATGGGAACATTGCATAGGTTTGAGTGGTGATCGTGAAGCTGTTTCCTGGGCTCTCTCCCCCTCTCTGGCGTTCACGCGATTGCCACAAACTCGACCGGTATCATACATCAACCAAAGCGAGAACGGGATTTCTAAAATTAGAGCAAAAGTAGCGACACAACACACTCCGAAAGGTTAATTAGATAACCGAGTGCTCGTCGTAAGGCTCATAGCGACGCAGGCACTATAGTAACTTCATGGCCCTAGGAGCAACTATCGTTAACGCACCATTAAGAGCATGCCACTCAACTTAGTAGACACCTTCAGAGAAGCACTTAAGTTAATCGATAATACAAATGATTAACCCCTTAATCCGTAAGCCGTAAAGGGTACGCTTATTACTACCCTCTCTCTAGTAGCTAAAATACAGAATCTACAAGAGCTAAGACACCTCTACTAAGCTATCGAGAGCTTACGTACGGTAACTAGAATAGTTCACAAGCACACTATTCATAAACCAAGAATTATTAGGATTACTAGGTAGCAAAACACGGTTAACTAAACGTAAGGAAAACATTAACATAACGCGCGTAGTTAACGCGGCCGCTAAGGAGGTTTAGAAAGCTAGCGAGCTAGCGGTTAAGGTTACAAAGGATATTAAAGCACTGGAGCCGATGAATCAGGGCAACACCGTGCAGTTATATGCCAGCGTAACCGCCCAAGGAGGACTAGCAGGGAGTACGTATAACCCCTATAACTAGAAAGCGTCCTAGACCTAGACCCTGCGTGAAATCTATATGAATATTGAAGACCCCATCACTATTGTTACTATAAAATCCATGAACCCCCGTAGCCTTAAGGCGCACGTAGAACGCGCCATCGAACAAAGCAGTAACGAACGATCCGCAAGCTCAAGACGGTATTGCCAATCAACTTAAAAGCGGTGACCTGAGCATCAAGACAGCAATGACGAAAGACGAGGCCCTACGCTAGTTTACCGAGGACTAGGAAAACCACATCGGCAAATGCGCCGCGGTGAGGATTCCAACCTACGGAGTGCTGGCGCACGGCATCAGAACTAGCTTCATGAACATGGATCGATTCATAGAAACCAGTGACGACTGGCACTATTCCGTCTGTCGTTCCCCGACAACATCGGAATAGGCGGGTTTCTGTGGCGCCACGGGCTCTTCGGCGCGCCGCTCATTGGCATAGCGTATGTGGTATAAGTTTATGAATACTGCAAGGCGTTTTGGGAAACTTAATAGCCAGAACCCGGTTCATTCGCCAAGTCTAGTTCGAGGCTAACGAGAGAAAGGGAGGGGGTGAGTGAAAGAGCTGGGAATGTTTCCAAGCTCCTCCTCAGGGGACTATACGAACGAAGTACTGCAGAATCCCGAACGCATTGCTATTATCAGACACTCAGACGGTCCACCGGTTTACGAATGGAAAGCCATCAAAGTTCTCTCAATTCTAGCATGTTCTTAATATGGCCCAGTAGCCGTATTTCCACTAAATACACCTTCGCTGCGAGGCCTGCGGATATACCCAGTCAACAGAGAAGAGGGTTGAATAGCATTGCCTTGCTGTGCAGGCCCTGTATGATCATCGATACGATTGTCTCCATGCTCTACTCAGCTTATTGTCCAACCCAGCCGCACGACCCGTGCAGGGAGCAATTTCTGACAAAATCTCTAGCTCGGTTGTGGTCCGGGGTACCATCCTCAACGATAACGCACTTCAAACGGTTAGCTTTGCTGTTCTGATGTGAAAGAGTAAGTATTCACCTTAAGATCACCATTTCGAGTGACGAGAGATCCGCGTCCAGCACAGCCCTTCCTTACACCGTCATCGTCAGGTACGACTCCTCCATTTCGGAGGGTTGTGCAGTCGCAGTCTACCGACTCGCCTGGTGCAGGAAGCTGGGCTATGACAGTAGTGGCCGCGAGTCTGATAGTGTTAGGATCTTTTAAGCGGAAGGCACATCTTGCTTTACTTACAAGACCGTTGCAAGAGAGGCGAAATAGACCATGTTTACGATCGGAAATAGTCGTCTTATACGAAGTGGGATTTCTAAGTAGTTTGTTCAGCGGCGTAGATTCGGAGGTCTATTATATGCGACCTGCTTGGATTAAGTACTCGGGTTTGATATCATGTCTTCTTTTGAAGCCAGCAGTAGCACGGGGTTCCACCCACTAGGGTTTTGATTACGAAAGCCAGAAAATCCTACAACTGATTCTCCTAAACTGCAAAATGCGTTTTTCTATGAGGCGGCTCATAGCGTCGGCCGTGAGTTCGCGTCTCGAATCCCTGGGTAGTCGCTTTTTCCTCGTTCGCTCCATTACGCTAGCCGGTGTAGGTTTCGGCTACTCTGAGCTTTCCCTCGAATCCCGATCCCCGACCTGGAGTTGAAGCTGCGGGTTCAACAGGAGGTGCCTGTAAATCCGTGTTACTACCACGACGATCATGACAGGACTGGGGGTATAGGCGGGCCCAGTGTCAACATTATGCTCAGGCAAAGCACTCTATACAGATCATAATACAACTACCAACGGGAAACGAACTCGGATTCCTGAACTAGTAGACAAGAGCTGATCCACTTTGTGGATCCTCATGATTGGTGCACTTATATATTACTCATGAAGGGTTGTCTATCGGACCATGCAGGTGTGGGGTTTACGTTTTGTTATAGACTAGCGATCATGCTTTTTTAATGCGCGCTTCATCTAAACTCTCACGCTGATTGTGAAGCCAGCTCAGCTACTATTCATCCGGCTGATCTTGAGCAGTGTAAGAGTCTGCTTGTACGGCCTCATATACACAGAGTTGTATTTCGACGCGTGATGTAGCCGCCTCTTCCGGTAACTTTCCTATTGGGGCCAGGACCAGTGTAAAAGAAGGATGTTTTGTAAATCCCAGGTAAGATACTGGATGATATCAATGTACAACAGACCAAGTCTTATATTATCTTGGGGAAAACCGCCCTGAGTTTTATGTTCAGCCTGCTACATGGCACCAACGGACGTCATCATCTCTCGCTGCGACTCTAACATACTACCAATGGGCGTGAGTATCATTTTCATTTTCGAAAGAAATTCCGGGAGATTCCTCGCAATTATTCCATGTCGAAAACCTAAATACGCATGTCGCCTGCCGTCGTGGATCCGAGTCATATTAGACGGCGCATAATAAGCCTGAATTGAGTGGTGGTGTATGATCGATGATTGCAGCGTGCTTGAAGCTCCTTGATTACGGTAGTCCCACGCCGGCTTTAGTACGTAACATGCCCGGGCGCAAAACGGGCTGATCGCATGTAATTTCTCCAGCGGAGTTATTTGAGACCGCAGGCGACTTTTTCTCGAGATTAGCGCATTTTTAGATAACTATCCAACTCAAAGCAAATTCCCTTATGTTGCTGCCAAAACTCTCCGCGAGGCTACCTAGCGTGAGCAATCTTCTTGTGTCGATTAAGGTTTTGTCAAAGGTGTCATCATACGCATCGGCCTCGTAGGGATGGATTCGCCGGAGGCACGGAGCAGGCCGAAAAAGAACACGACCGTTGTCTGGAAATGAACACCGACGCGGCCCACATCTATACAGACGGCAGCGGCATCGACGGTCAGATCGGAGCGGCAGCAGTCTGCACAACCACACTGCAAACTAGGAAATCGAACATGGGAGACGACACAACATCCACAGTCTACGCGGGAGAGCTACAGGGCATTGTCCTTGCGCTCGAGATGGCGCAAACAGACAAGGAAAACGGAAACCACCGAAGCAAAGTCTCCATACACACCGACAACCAGGCCGCCATCAGATCGTCAGCCAACCCAAAGGGTAGGTCCGGCGCGTACCTTCTCAAGGCCATTGCAGAAAAGACACAAGCCCTCCGAGAACAGGGACTCGAAGTCGAGCTCCGATGGGTACCTGCCCACATCGGTATCCAGGGCAACGAAGCAGCAGATATCGCCGCCAAGGAGGCGACGGGATGGAGGCCAGACGGACAGACAGGTTCCAGGGCAGACAAGCCGAGAGTCTTGTTCAAACTCAGGTCGACAGTCAAGACATGGTCGCATAAACAGTCCCACCACGCGTGGCAAACCAAATGGGAAACTGAGACGCGAGGGAGAACATCGTTCCGTCTCACGCCGAAGCCGACAAAGAAGGTCCTCGAACTCCACGAAGGCCTCAGTAAACGCCAGAGCGCAGTCCTGGTCCAGATGCGCACGGAAAAGATCGGGCCCCAGGACTTCCTCTTCAACCGAAGAGTACCGGGCATCACCAACGCCAACTGCCCATGCCGGGAAGGACGGCAAACGGTATCGCACATCCTGCTGCGATGCCGTAGGTTTCGACAACTCCGGCGCCAGGAATTCGGAACCCTCCCAGGACGACACAATCTCCGGGTCATACTGAACAAGCGCAAAGCAGCCGCCAAGGCAATCCGATTCATAGAACAGACCGAGATCCTTGGGCAACACGGGATCGAGTCGCAAAGCAGATCAAGCTGAACATTGGGGGGAGACTGTAGGTACGCTGAACCCTTGTACGAGGAAAGACCTCAATAGAGCCTAGACATACGTGTACATTAGTAGAGAACCGCGAACTACACGAGGTGGCAGCCAAGGGTAGTTGAGGTTGGAGAGCAAAGTGGTAGATTTGGAGACAGCTGGTCGGTGTTTTGCACTGGCGAAATGGGGCGCTGCGGATTAACGTCCGGAGCGCGTCGGCTGTTGGCCAAACCCCGCCGTCCGGGCATAGCTGCTGACTAAAGCGGCCAAAACCGAGTAGGAATCAATCAAATCAAATCAAATCAAATCAAACGTGCATGTGAATCTGACGAGACCAAGACCAGTCCGATTAGCCCGACTATTTCTGGGCATCGTGCGTGTGCGAGACTTGCGAGATGCAGGCCATAAAACCTTCGACTGCTTCCATCTAACACAATACGTAAGCCGTCCTTTCATTTTCATGGCATATCTACACGAACGCTCCGCCGGCCATGTCGTTCGCTCAAAGAAGTGCCTGCGATCGCTGCCGAATCCTCAAGATCCGGTGCTCCAGCGAATCTGGAGCTGGCCGTCACATATGGATCATCCCGATTCCAGCCTTGGTTCCAGTATCATCGGACTTCTTTTACGTCTTCGTGCTTTTGCATCTCTGGCAGCGTGTCCAAGAGGCGCCTCCCAAGTCTGGTAGAGTGTTTCCCATCAAGAGGTCAGCAATGGAACAGACTCTTCAGTTAGTTCAAAACTATTCAATCACGCATGAACTAAAATGCTACTAACTGCCTATAATCACATCGCTTGTGAAAATGCATCTGGAACGTATTATAATTACCTACCATTTTAAAACGCTAATTGTTCAGAGATGAAGCTACGGGGCGGCATATTGAGCAAGACGACCCATGTATACGTGTATTGATCGTGCCACTGGCGACTGAGTTCATGAACTTTCGGGGCCATTGGCAATATCCCATATCAAGGCAATGGTGGGTATAGTACAATCTCCCTGAGATAACCGAACAAATGGACAAGTCAAAAGGCTCACACTTCTTCCTGTCTAAGGCGCTATAATTTATTTCACTTTCCGAAGGAATTTCCGAAGAAAGTTTAACACCACGCACCAAGTAGATGAAATCTCCCACCACTTATCAACTGGAAATAATGTAGAAAGGCGACAGGTGGGTTTCACTTAGACTGATTGTGGCAGTGAACAAGCTCTGAATATATAAGAACTCCCACCCTGGCCATCGTCAATTGGTGCCCATCACGCCCCGCACCACCCTAATACTCCTCAGACAGCTTGGACAATGAAGGTCTACCAACTTGCTGCTTTGCTGCCCTTTGCGAGAACTAATCCTAAAAGCCTTCTTCACCCACGAGAATCTAACGTGCGAGCTTCAGAGCACTTTCTTGAGCGGTGTATCCGCCGCGTATTGCAACAACAGCCCATCTTTGATTTGGCAATGCCTGAGATCTGATAACTCCAACTCTGGATACACCTCATCATGCTGTCCTGGGGGTAGCTACCAACAAGACGGTGCTGTTAGTACACCACGCTCAAGTGTAAATTTGGACAGGTTTTGACGCGGTTTAGTGCTGTACTTCCAATTGGCAAGCTTTCAAGTCTTGCTGCACTGCGCATTCTGGCTACTGGGCTGCCAACGGCTAAGAGCAATCGGTTCCAGTTGCTATTGGTCCTCTCACCTGTAAGGGTCTAGAGTAAAGGTCGGTGACATTTATCTAGCCTACGAGTATCATTGTGCCGGGCCGAGCCCGTCACTCGGGATACTCTTGGCTATGTCCGGCAGAAGGTCACGACATCAAGGGATAGAAAGGAAACAGACGCAGCTAGAAGAAAAATAAACCTTCCTTCCTCATCTGAGGATTCTTATCGAGAAAGGATGTACGGATTGCAACATTGCTCCTACCGCCCCTTACATTACCTGCTCAAAAACACAACAAGTTTGCTACACAGATCGGAATGGCCATCATTTACCAACGAATTCCCCAGATTCAGCATCAGGAGGCTGAAAAGTAGGATAGGAATAGCTTCACCCAGAGACTCAGTGTGACAGAATCTAGGATACTCTCGCTTAGGTGAAACTCACCGCATACAGTCATTACTCAGTTAACCACATAGTTGGGCCAGGACTTGTTGGATAAACGATGTTGATTTAATGCAATACCATTGAGGTCCATTGATCAAAAGGTGATTGTTGTTCTTTTGCGGGATTTTTTCCACCCCGATCCGAACGGGGTTCTGTCTTGTATTTGCCCATCATCGCCGGTTCTTACAATTATTCCACGCATTTATAGCTTCCCTTCATCCAGACACAGTCGTCAATCCAACAGTATCTTGATGAGTATGATGAATGAATGGCTATTGGAAGTTACCCCATATCTATATAATGAGCGTACGATCCTCTTGTAGAAAGAAACCCTTGCTAGCCTTACTCATACCTCCGGTTAAGCATAAATCAGGTCGTTCGAGATGGAACAATTACCGTAACGAATGTCCTGGGGCAGTCTGAAAACTACTAGAGTAATCTTCCATATGAAACTCTGCTTGGATGAGACTTATAGAAACTCACGCAGCCCGAATCGTCGCCTCAGTTGCGTAGCGGTGCGTGATAATACCATAGACTATCTGTGATGTAGAAAGTACAATGTCATGTCTATGTCGATTTCCCGGTGTGTGTTGAGGAGCCTAGCATAGCCAGCGCAAGTCAACCCCTTTCTTCCTCGCCTTAATACGTTGTTATTGATACCACATTCCACTGGATCTCTGCGCAATGATTGATAAAGCACGGATATGAAATTCTCCGTTGGGCTTAAATGAATAAGTCAAAGCACCCACTTATGGGCACCCCCCCCTTTTGGGCACCCCATTTACACCAATAGTACTACTTTTCACTATAGGTCTAATAAATCGGCTTCTCAATAATAAAATTTAATAATTTATATTCAAGTAGAAACTTATTTATATTTCTTATAAAAAAATACTATACTACGTAATACTACTTAAATAAGTAGTTTTATAAAGTTAAAGTTGAAGTTTTGAAAATGTTAGTGTTTATATGTAAATTACTAAGTAACACTAACAATCTAAAAACTTGAATAACTTTTATAATTATAATTTAAAAAAAGAAAAAAAGCTATATTAATATTATTTAAACTAATTTTCATTAAATATATACCTTATATTTTAGTTTTATCGTATTATTGTTACGACCCAACATGCATGACCAACCCAGAGGCCAGCCTGCCGGCCGCGGCGGCTGGGCACACCATATATGCAGGTGAAACAGGGACACGGCTACTCCTCGCGGAACGGAAGAACTATGGATAAGTCACGTGCTGATAAGATAAGGATCATTCCGGATCAGAATGATCCAACACGACTTGGGGGCCGAACGATCATTCTGGATCAGAATGATCGAGGACGACCCAAGGGACAAAGGATATGTTCAGGAACGAGACTTGTATATAGTATGGACTTGAGCCGGGCTCGAGGACAGACTTCCCATAGCTTCTTCAGCAATCAACTTAGTATCAGATCTTACGATCGCTTTCAGCTATCTTCACTGAGAACTTCTTCTGACAAGACTACGATTGATCACCGAAGCCTTACCTATCTTACGACTTACAGACATAGCTTCAGGGAAGCTATCCACGACTACGACACTGTTTACTTAGTACTCGCAGCCTCAACTTCTGCTAACATACTCACTACGACTAGCTGGCCGTAACAATTATCATATAATATATTTAGTTTTAAATTTCCCTATATAAAATTTAGTATGAGAAATTTTTAGCTTATTATTACTAAGTTATAAAAAATTATAAAAATATAAAAAAGTTACTTATATATAATTTCTATATATAATTTAAATATATTATAGTTTTAGCTTATAAGACATGATAGTTCTTGCGTAATTTATATTTTAAATATTGCTTCTTAATTATGTATTTCTTAAATCTTATATATTTGATATAATTACGTAATAACAAGCTAATATATATTATTATAAATATAATAATATAAAAATATAGTTAATTATGTATATAAATTAATTTTATTTATAGTTTTATATATGAAGTAGAGCTAGTTATATATATAGTATAAAGTAGTAGGTTTTGGTGTAGCCCCACCAAAACTAGGGTGCCCAAAAGGGGGGGGTGCCCATAAGTGGGTGCTTTGACTTACTCGATTGCCCGCTGAGTGGATATAGAGCCACTCTCGACGTCTCGCGCAACAATCCGGAGAAGAATCAAGGCGCCAGGTATGACCTTCAGTCAAACTGGTAAAGACGAGCAGCAGATCGAAGATCTTGCTCCCGGGGCAGTTCTGTGTGGGTTGCCAGCAGCTGTTCATGACCGGGAGCTTTAGATCAACGACAGTGTTGTCTGGTTCTTCACCTTAATAAATGTATGATACTATTTACGGACCGCAAGATATGCCAGCATCAGATCTGATAGATCTCGTGCATCAATCTTAAGAAGCGCGATAGTGTATGACACCTCTATAGTATGCATATCTATACGTATAACGTGATTAACAACTGAGTCGAATAGCATCCGCGATCGGAGAGCATCACCACTTCTAAGTCGGAGCACCCCCATTCGGCCACCCCAAAAATCCCTCCCAGCCACCCCATTAAAATCCTACCCTCAATTTACAAACTATCACAACAATTGCAATTATCGTCCAAACGCATTTATGTTTGGTACACATGTTCTTTATTATACTATGGTATCGTATACCGAAAATGAAGTCATTCGAACGCTCGAGGCAATTAGAGGTGGTACCTCAGTCAAGAGGGCCTCGATTGAGTTCGGTGTTCCAAGGACTACACTTCGGAATCGTCGACGAGGTCAACAGGCCAGGGCAATCGCTTTCGCAGACCAGCAGAGGCTTCCCCCTTGACAGGAAGATAGGCTGGCTGAATGGGTTCGTATTCAGCATGCTCTAGGAGTTGCACCAACCCACGAACAAGTCAGAGAATTCGCTGGGCGAGTTCTGCAAGCCCAGGGGGATGATCATCCTCTTGGGAAGAGATGGATAGATGCCTTTTTGAAGCGGAACCCATCTATTAAGGTCCAGAGAAGTCGTCCCATGGATTCAAGGCGTGTTAATGGAGCAACTACTGAGGTGATTAGGCCCTGGTTCCGATTACTCGACATACTAGAGATCAAGGACATCAAACAGGTCAATAGATACAACATGGATGAGACTGGTATTCTTGAGGGCAAGGGATTCAATGGGCTGGTCTTGGGCATGGCCGAGACCAACGCAGTGCGGAAAAAAGAGCCTGGATCGCGTTCCTGGATGTCTATTATCGAGTGTATCTCTGCTGGTGGTACAGCCATCAAACCACTGCTGATCTACAAGGGAAAGTCGGTCCAACAGCAGTGGTTCCCCCTTGAGCTTAAAGAGCTCGATGGTTGGGAGTTCACAGCAACAGATAATGGGTGGACTACAGACCAGACTGCCCTCACATGGTTAAGGGTGGTCTTCTTGCCACAGACTGAGCCCCCCCCCCCCCCCCTGACCAGGGGACCCAACCCACAGCTGGAGCCTCGACTGTTAATTCTGGATGGGCATGGGAGTCATACGACGACAGAATTCATGTGGGAGTGCTATATTAACAACGTCTACTTATTATTCTTGCCACCACACACCTCCCATGTCCTCCAGCCGTTGGATATGGCTGTCTTTGGTCCTATCAAATCCAACTACAGAAAGGAGCTCAGTAAGGAGGATATAGTAGACAATTCTACTATCGTTGGAAAGCGGTACTTCTTGGCTTGTTATACTATAGCTCGTTTGCTTGGTTTGAGGAGGGATAATATACGAAGTGGTTGGAGAGCAACTGGCCTATGGCCACTCAACATGGCCAGACCTCTTAGTAACCCATGGTATCGTCTGGCCCAGCTACACCATTAACCAACACCACCAATGCTGGGCAGACAACTGCCAATACTGCCAAAGTCGTTGACTGGACCTCTGCAGCGTCTGTTGTTGACTGGTCAACTCCTAGGAAAGCCAGCGATCTCTGTGGGCAGCTGAAGCTATCCACAGAGCTCAGTCCTGACCACAACACTCAACGCCTGCTTTTCCGCAAGGTCAAAAAAGCCTTCAGCGAGAAGTCCTACCTATTGGCCTCATCTCGACAGCAAGTTCGAGTTCTGGAAGCCAGAGTTAAGCGCATAGCTCCCAGGAAAAAGAAGAGTGTTCAAACAGACCCAAACACCAAGTTCGCCAACATCAGGGACATAAAGAGGGCTCAGGAAGACGCTGGCGAGCGTCTACTTAGTCCCAGTCGAATCGTGGAGGTCGAATTACCTAGCGAGGGCAGTGGGCGTATTGTAGTGGCAGTAGAAGGTGATTGATTAATTGACTGTAGTTGGTGGCGATGTTCCTGGACCTACTTTTGATGGGGTGGCCGAATGGGGGTGTTCCGACTTATAGCCTCTGGCAACATTGCAATACCCTCAGCCCCTTTCGACGCCCTGGTGGCTGGCTGTGCTAATCTAGCTAGTGTCTGATACATGGTGAATCTAAATTTTACTGTGACTATGCGAGTGTCTCGATGCGAGCTTGATGCAACACTCACAAGCCACTACCTAACTGACGACACGCACTTTCAGTCGTCCACAGCCGAAATGCCTTACTGTTCATGGCGCTATAGGGCTGCACATATGCGAGAGTAGCCTCGAAGGGGGTTTTCACCCATCACACGCAAACCTCTGACAAAGGCCACCACGATGAGACAGCATCGTTGTGGATGGAGACTGAACATGGGAGCTTTGAAGGCACAATCGTATATCGAAGACAGCGAGTGTCGTCTATTTATAACTACGAGAGCAATCGACAAGCTGCCAGAGCCTGACTGACTGTCTACCTAACACCCAGCGGGTGACGTCCGTCATCCCAGGCACTCACGCGCTGTCACGCGCTATCGCACGCCGTCATACACTATCATACGCCGCTGTCACGTCTCTGCACTGGCTCTATCACTGGAAAGGACAGGTTCCCAGGCGGCACCACGAGGAGGTTGCAGGGTCCGAATTTCGCCGCCCACATCGCTCGAGGAACAGCATCTCGGCGGTACCGTTGGAATGGTCATCAACGGAAATCAAATGAAATGTAGAGTCCGTTATTCGCCACCGTCGAGAATGTCCGCTCGACGGAACACATAGGAAACGCAGAAACCGTGGACTGGCATCGTTGGAATGATCATCGACGGAATAAAGTGCAGAAGCCGTTGCCCGGCATCGTTGGAAGTTTATCAACGGCACCGCCATACAGTTTTGTGCACATGTCGCTTCCTCTCTCACAAACATTCTCAATGTTCGAGAAGCCGAAACCTGCTGTGATGGGTCTCCACAAACCTCTGGTCATGGCTATAGCGACTGGTTTGCAAACGAAAATATGGGTCAGGATGGCGAACGACAGTGCGAGTGGCAGCGCGTAATTGAGAGCTACTCCAAAGCATCCATAACCGGCTTTCACAGCATTCATTCTCGCACATCTGATCGTGGTCGCATGTACACAGTAAGAACGACTATGGGCCCAGCCTGTGTGGGTCAAGTCCAAAAAGATGAAGTGTGTTGCCAAGAGGAAGCAACATATGATCAGTACTATATGGCAGCGTCAACACACGATCAACATCATCGCAGTGGTGGGGTGTGGCTGGGAGCCCAGCCCACCAAGAAAACTCCCGATTCCAAGTGGAAAGAGACCTCCCTACTGAAACTTTCATCGACATCCTCTCTGCTGCAAGTTTGCAACTTGGTACAAGGCAGGTTTGCTCAGCGTGCAATGGCATCAAGGCCCCACTGTGTGCCTTTGGGGAAAGAAGCATTTTTGCATCTTGGAGAATCGCTTGGTGAGCGTTGTGGCAGGGGTTGGCGAAAAACATCACATTTGCGGCTTCCAGAGGAGCAAACGGCCGGCGGTTGTCTTTTGGCGGGCGGGGTCTAGACCAAGTCCAGACTAGGCGACGAAAGTGTGGAGCGACCGGGGTGCTGGATCTGGACTG